ATAATAATAATAATAATAATAATAATAATAATAATGAATAATTTTCGTTGGTACAAACGAGTACTAACGATTTATAAGTTATCTGTAGGTTTTCCTGACGTCCTTCATACATTTAAGATTTTAGAAGCGGGTAAAGTATTGAAGGGGTTGATAAATGAAATGGAAAAATATAGTACATACAAGTACTATCCATGCTGAATCCTTGCTCATGAAAATTTTTTCCGTACCTTCATTTCCGACGCTGCACGATTTTTCTCGCACCTCTTACGTCTAGGGGTGCGGGGTACAAATGAAAATGAATGTAGTACATTCAGGTACTCACTGAGTACAATCGATACTATAAGAAAGACAATCGATTTATCAAACTTCGACTCCAAGTTCACATAGCTCTATAATAGTCGAATACTTGTCCGCAAGTAATCATCTCTTTTGCAATTTCACACAAAATAATGGTATTCTGTTGCAGAATAAGCCGTAAGGTTTAAATACTTACAACAAAAAAAGAAATTTCTTCAATTATCAAATTGCTGTCATGCACTCATAATGAAATATCTACTGCAATGATCGAAAAACCTCAACTGAATACTGCGTCCTGTTTCAAAAGATCTTCGAACGGGATTCTTTGAAACGTTTTCTGAATCAATCACTCCGTATAAGGAGTTCTACGGAACATAATACAGTTCGTTTTCACACCTATGTGTGTGGTGCCACTTTACGATCCTTTATTGGCCCTAAACTTTTACAGACTAGGAAAACCTCCAATGTACCCTATGGAGTGGCTGTTGAGTATTTCTACCCCACCTCTACAATAATCCCATGTGTTAAACGTCTACCGAGTCCTTGCATGCTCCTATGATGAAGAAATTTGTATTGTTATCAAAGTTGTATTCATTTTCGGTTTGTATTGGTTTTTAAGAGGCTGATAAAACTAAAATAATTTGCGAAATGTCACCAAGTGACAATTAGATCAATTTTGTTTTCATTTTCTCTCGCTTTTTGTAAATCACAGTGGAAATTTATTTATTTATTTATTTGTTGATCCAAGTGAAGGCAACCGAAGCCAATTATAAGACCTATAAATGGTATGGGAATAATAAACGCATTGCGGTTTACATATGCGCTCTAGGTGATAAATGTAAGAGGTATGATACAAAAGACGTTAACACAAATGTCTAGCGGTAAAGAGAAGAAATCAAGGTAGTGAATATAAAAAGTAAAGAGATAGTAATTGTTGTATGTGACGTCAACAGTGAATTTAAAAATTGATAAACAAAAATTTTATTCGTTATTTGTTTCCAATGTACTGCTAAATTTTTTGTCTGATTTTTGTTCTATAAACATCTCATCTTAGATGGAATATATTACAATTTGTAATAGATAATTTTTTTTTTTTTTTTGTTATTGTAAGCATTTAAACCTTACGGTTTATTCTGCGGTAAGAATCCAATGATTTTGCTTTTTTTTAAATTTTTGAAAACAGCAAAATCCAGGGCTATGTAAATCTGAATAGAAATTGGAGACCATTTCAGATTATCAAAATAGAAAAAACAACCAAGATCACGTTTGAAAGATAGTCCACCCAGGCCTTAAGTAATTAACAATAGTTAGAGTTTCGACTTTTAAATTAGAAGAATTTAGGAATTCATCTATGATAAGTATTAGTTCTTTCTCTAGGGTGTAGAGAAAAACATTAACATGGTACGGAAGAATGAACCACAGGATCTCAGGCATCTCGTCATAATTCCCCTGTAGAGGTAGTTTTTCGAGAGAACTTTCTTTTACTGAACCAAGGTTTCCTTCCATTTTCATAAAGCCATTTGAAAAATGTCCTCCCTTAGAGGAGTTATCTTCATCTAGTTCTTTTATGTAATACATAAGTTATTATAACAAACAATCGCACGGAGTTGTTTGATTCTGTGATTAGCCTAATGGTGTTAATCTCCATAAATAAATGAAAAAAGACAAACCAAATGATAAATCCGACCTACCTCACTCTTCCATTCAACCCCATATCGGCATCAGTCGCCGAGACCGTAACAACACTCGTCCCCACGACAACATCCTCCAGAATAGTCCCCGTGTACTGTCCAGCATCGAAAACGGGGGCATTATCATTGACATCAGTAACCGAAATCTCGACATCAGTAGTATCCGACAAGGACGGAACCCCTCCGTCCCTGGCAGTGACCGTCAGCAGATACCCAGAGGATCTCTCCCTGTCCAAGGGCCTCGTCGTCGTAATGGCCCCCGTCTGCGGGTTGATGGTGAATTCGGCGGCCTCCAACCCATCCCCATCGGACCCCAAGCTATAAGTGACCTGAGCATTCTGTCCGACATCGGAATCCGTCGCGCTGACCACCAGCACAGTAGTTCCCACTGGTGCATCCTCAAACACCGAAACCGAGTACGGAGCATTCTCGAATATCGGCGCAAAGTTGTTGGCATCAGAGACATTCACATAAACCAGAGCAGTATCGGCTCGTCCCCCCGAGTCAGAAGCCGTGACCGTCAGTACAAATCTCTTCTCCTGTTTGTAGTCAAGCGGTTGAGCAACCGTAATCAATCCCCCGCCATTTTGCGATGTAATCGAGAACCTTCCTCTAGTATTACCCGCAGTAATGTCATAATGAATCTTGGCATCTTCGTCAGGATCAGTCGCCGTGACAAGTGCAACAGAAGTCCCGGGGGGATCGTCCTCAGACACAACAGTCTCATAGTTTCTCGGCTCGAACGTCGGGTCATTATCGTTTATATCAGTTACAGTGAGCACCACTGTGGCGCTGCCGGACTTCGGGGGTTCCCCCGAGTCTGTCGCAATTACCGTAAACTGATACCTCGAGTTCTGCTCTCGATCCAACTGCTTTGTCGTATGAATCCACCCGCTCTCGGGGTTAACAGCGATGGGAAAATTCTCGGTTGAGGCGCCGGAAAAGTCCCTCGCCCCTATGGAGTACTTTATCATAGCATTGAGGCCCTTATCACCGTCGTACGCCTGCACTCTAACCACCGAGTGGCCAATTGGCACACCCTCAGACACAGTCTCCTGCAGCAGACTCGTGAAGAACCTCGGCGCATTGTCATTCACGTCTTGAACATGAACGAGCAATTGAGTCGTGTTTGATCTCGCGGGTGAGCCACCGTCCTGAGCTCTCACCACAATCCTATACAAGTCCGTTGTCTCGTAGTCCAGTGGCTTCACTAGAGTCACGTCTCCGCTTAATGAGTCTATTGAAAAGGTGTTCTGAGTGTTTCCACCTATTATCGCGTACCTTATGGCCGCGTTGGCACCTGTGTCAGCGTCTGTCGCTCGTATCCGTGCTATCACGGGGTTCACGGTGTAGTCCATGTCTTCGGAGGCTGTTGTGGAGTAAGATCTCTCGGAGAACTGAGGGTAGTTGTCGTTGTCATCCAGGACCCGGACGATTAGCGTCGTGGTGGCAGTTTTTCTGGTGGACGCCGAGGGCGCCTGGTCCACTGCGTTGATTATCACAGTGTAGACTTCAGTCTTCTCCCTGTCCAACGACATCCTCGTGGTGACAACCCCCGACTTGGGGTCTATTCGAAAAGTCGCCGAGTCCTCAGTCAAGGCAGTCATACCCCCTCCAGTAGTGGACACTATGGAATACTCAACCTCTGCGTTACGACCGAAATCCTTATCAGTAGCTTTAACCGCAATTACAGTAGATCCTAATGGCACACTCTCCCTAATGGGCGCCTCGTACTCCGGCCACTCGAAGCTCGGCGCGTGATCATTAGCGTCTAAGACATTGACCTGCAGCGTTGTGGTGCCGGTTCTCGGTGGGAACGAGTCGTCGACAGCCAGGACTTTGAAGTAATGCACGTCTACGCTTTCGCGATCGAGTTTAGAGCGTGTTGTTACTTTCCCAGATGCTGAATCGAGGAGAAAGAGGGCACTGGAGCGGGCGTCGAGGAGGGACATCATGGAGTAGTGGACTGTGCCGCCTTCTGGGTCCCTCGCGCGAACCACGGTGACGAGCTCGCCGGGTTCCTTTTCCTCCTCGACGGCCACTGTGTAGAGACCCTGTTCGAAGAAGGGGGAGCGATTGCGGAGCTCTCGGCGGACCCTTCGGCCCAGGTCGTCGTCGTCCAGCTGCTGGTGGTGGAAGATGATCTTCAGGCGGTGCTCGGCGTCCGCCAGGTGGTTTGTGCTGCAGCGGAGGGTCATTGAGACTGCGATCTTCCATATGGGGTCGATCAGGCACTGCTCCGAGGACGAGACCAGATCGCCTGCTGTACCTTCTATCAGGAATCGAGAGTCGGCTACTCCTCCCCATCTCGCCTCGCACTCTTTCACTACCGTTTCGGGGAGGAAGCTCTGTAATGAGGCGACTAGTTGAGATGTCCGGAGACAGATTTCTGTGAATTTGTCCGGGGTAGGCATCGCAAAGGACGCCAGGGTCTCCGCCATCCAGCCCTTCGTCGCCGCCAGGTCCTGGTTCTCACCGCCACATCCGGTTATCAGGACTCGCAAGGGGAGACTGTAGAAATCGATGTTCGGGCGGCCTAGGCGTTGGCTCGTCGAGTCTATATGGAAGGTGAAGAGTCGGGGGTATTGCAGACCATCGCAGTTTAGGGATCTCGCCAGGGTTACTCGTCCGTTGTGCGGGTGCACGCGGAGGAGTTTGCGGGCGAAACGGGCCGTGTGGGAGGAGGCCTCGTATTTTCGACGCCCCCCCAGGCGCGGGATACCTGCCTCGAAGATCAAGGAGCCCGGGGCCAGGGTCGAGGACAATACTGCTAGGTAAGAGTCCGCAACGTGCGCTAGACCCGCTAGCAGGCACGCCACGGACAGCATCCATATTGTCCTCGTCATATCACAAGTGGAACATTTTTCGGTTCAGGTGGGGGGTGATGGGTCAAGGCGAGGGCGGCATTGTGAGCGATCTGGAACAGATAAATTGTATGGGTTAGGGGGTTTTAGGGGCGGTGGTAATGAGGATTGCTTTGGAGTAATGAATATCTTTCTGACACTAGAGAGATGTGAGATTGCTCATTCGAATTGAGTAGTTTCCGGACTCATTTCGGGGGTTTAATTTGAATCAGATCAATGTACTGATTCGCGGAGAGAAATTCTTTAGAGAAATTCAGTAGCGAAGTGGTAAAGTGGTACAAGTAGATTTTGACGATTGACCAGTTTTCAATGGATTTCTGGGAATCTAAGGGAGACAGCAAAATTTTTGTTATAACCTTTTTTGTAGAGCCGATTGAGAGCTACAACAAATGTAATTACGAAAATTTCAGTATCTCCTTTAGATTCCGAAATATTCTCCAAAAACTCAACTGGGAGATAAGACGACTTAAACCGTTTTAAACTCCTTCGTTATTCGATACTCCCATCCGTATTTTGCTGAAGAAAAATCTTTGTTTTATGCGAAACAAGGGACAGTAGTTTTTCTTCTCGACTGTCTAATAATCACAGACAACAAATGAACCCTCAAATGAAACAATAATAATTATATGATAGCAATCGTTTAACTTAGGGATAAAATATTTGTTGATAAATTTGTCTCTAAATGAGATATTTTCATCCTGAAAAGGCACCGTCTGGTGTGAATTGTTTGCTTCTTGAGCCAAATATTTCGTTGCTTGCCCGTGCTAGCACTAGAATTTTTCTAGAGAAGTTTTCTCCGCGTCCAAATGGGTCATAACAAAACTTTTATTCGAATTTAAACTCGATTTTTATTTGCCTTTTTCTTCCCATAAAATAGATAATTTTGGAAATATAAACGAATGTTTATTTTATCTGAATGAATACTTTATTAGTTTGAAATTGAATCATCATATTGAAATGACAGATAGAACGAATGTATGAACTAGCAATAATCTTCATGTGAAACGACTCATTTGCTGATTTGAATCTAATAGAGGATGTACTCGGAATTAATTAATTATCCATTGCATATCGTCAAGAGATTTTCAGTGAAATGAATATATAACTTTATCAATATCCACCAAAAAATTGTTGAAATGCGTAGAATAAAAATGCAATGCAGCTCACTTTACTGTTCTTCTAACAGTTCAATCTTGTTTCACATACGTTTTCTTTCATCTATTTGAAACAAATATCCTGTCTTTACGACGATGATTCTATAGGTTTACTCAGACAATCAAGCGTATCAGGAAATGATGACTGAAGAGATTTTTCGTCTGAAATTTTCTCGGTTCGAGACGAATGTACAGTTACGAAAAATGAAGGAATCGAGTACAAGTCATGTTTTACGATTTTCTACTCCCTAAAACCCATAAAATCCTTCAGACATTCAAAGACATTTTCTTTCAAATCCCGAGAGGAATCCTACGAACATGAATGGAGATTATAGGTATTAATGTGACAACCCAAGCTGTCATAAAATATTTTGAAGACATAATATAAAAAGGCTCCGGAATTTCCAGGAAAAGATCGAAATTCTTGATTTCAGATATTTTATGAACTGAATCCAGTCATTTGTCATCGCGTAATTGATGATCCTTTATCTCTTCATGCATGGCTTTTGATAGTTTATCAACGTTTCCTTTATGTGATATGTTGCACGGTTGAATCGGGCAAAAAGTAAACAGCGGAGGAAATGGATGTGGGGGAAAAACGCCTAGTCCAATAAGTATCTCCTCGACATTCTCCCCGCACTCGTTTTGTTCTTCCACTACACCCGTCTCATCGTACTACCTGGGGATCGTGAGACTAGTTGACCGGAGGAAACTCATGCGGAGCAGGGAGAGAAACCGAGAGGTGAAGAGAACTCTGAGGAGGGGAGGGTGAGGTAAAAAAGGTATAAGCGACTGCAGAAAGGCAGAGGCAGAGCCATCGACCAGTCTCACTGGCACGCGAGCTACAGCCAATGCCCGGTATCCCATTGGCCACGTATGAGACCCTTCTGTGAAGGGAGCAGAATGAAAAATTCAGTTTATTCTAGAGACAACGTTTATCTCCACAATCTTCTGCAAATTACAGGGAGTAATTAATTCTTCGGAGCTTTCATGCCTAGTGAATGATGAAAAACGAGTTTTTGGAGTATACTTGCTAGGGGAATAATGATAGATGTTTAGTGGATGAAATTTGAAATGTATCGGTCAAAAAATCGGAAATCGAGTAATAAATGGTGTTTTGTAAAATGTAGAATTTTGCGAGGAAAATTCATAAGCCGCAAGAAGCTCAAGACTTGGAAACTTGGAGGAAAATCGCAATTGAAATTGAAGAAATGTTCAATGAAGAATTTCATGAGGATCGTACGGGGTGAAGAATTCTGAATGGAAATTTTTTCAGAAAATTGTTTCTTTTGTGAAAATGAAAGAATTAAATTTTGCAAAGTCGACATTTTTTAAATTTTAATGGGCCTCGTAACGAAAAACAAGTATAACTCAAAAAAAAATTTGAATGATAAAATTCCAAACATAAAGGTCATAAAACTTAAAATTTGACCAAAATCCAATTGTAAATAAAAATAAAAGGTAGAATGAGTTGAATATCACAAGAGCTGAAAAATAAAAATTTTAATGATTTGAAAGACTCATTTTTTTCCAAAACAAAAAATGCGTTCTTTGCACGGAAAAAAATTTGTAAGTGTTCCTCGAAAATAATCAGAATAGTAAAAAATCTGGAAAGAGGTTCCAGGATCCACTTCAGAGCATAAGAATCAAAAATCGAAAATTAAAAATGGAAAATAGTATTTGTTACAAGCAAAATCTGTATGAATCAAAAGAGTATTTGTAAAACTTGAACAAATCTCATTTTTCACGAAAATAAAATATTGAATGGGTGGAATTTCATAGAAGGGTCACAAGGGTTAAAAATTCTGAATTGAATTTTTTTCAGAAAATCTCTGTGAAAAATAACGATTTAAATTTTACAAAGTCGATATTTCTTAAATTTTAATGTGCCTCACAACAAAAAAGTTAAACTCATAAAAAATGTGATTCTAAATCAACACAAAATGTTGAAAGGGTTGACCATGCTAAGGGTCACAAGGGTCAAAAAGTCAAACTTGAAATTATTTCAAAAACTCATTTTTCTCCAAAGCGAAAGAATGCGTTCTTCTCACGCAAAAAAATTTCGTAAGTGTTAAAATCCCTCCAATTCTCATGTGCCTCAGACCGCATAAAAATGCACCTAAAAAAATGAATCACGTTGGCAAAAAAAAAGTGAGAATGGAATTTTTTCTAATATCCTAAACACAATGTCCCCGAACCATTTAATCGCAACATTTAGTTCGCGTGGGTCTTCCGCAGGTATCATTTTCGTACAGCGTAGCCCGCCAATCTCCCCAAAAGCTATTAATTACAATGCAACGAAGAGAGAAGAAAAGATCCCCTGAACATGTACGGAATCCGGTTCTACCAATTATCGAAGGCAGTTGGAGTCCCTTGGGACGTCGAGACCCTTCTCAAATGCTACCCGACACGCTTGAGGCCCTTCTGGAGATGCTCTTTGTTACACTTTTTTTTCACCAAGGCAGATTGAACCGATAGAGTATCAAGACTCCTCGAGATGCGTTGAGACACCCGGTATAACTATTCACGTGAAAACGAGTCGTCTGTGTTTCCTACTCAAGGTCGAGGGTATGAAAGAGTGCGTGAGGTATTCAATTGCGTTTAATTCTCGTGTTATTAATGGCGGGAGGCATAAAAATCCTTGAGAAATGCAATTTTTTTAGTTGAAAAACACGAGGAGATGATTGAGGAATTTTTTAGGCCTTTTTTAATTGAGAAATCCATGAATTCGGCAATTTCAGAGGGTTTTTTTGTCACTACTGCTACCTTCACGTCGTGCCGAAAAGTGCTTTTTCGTTCACTCGTAAACGAAAAGTAAACAAAAAGTCTTTTCGTTAACTTGTAAAAAAAATTGTACGAGACATGTGAGACGGGAATGAATTCGAGAATTTCAAAAGTTTTTTTTGTCACTGCTACACGTCGTGTCGAAATAGTACATTATGTCATTAGGCGATAATAGTATATTTTGTAACGAGTGCAAAAAACATTTTTTCACAAGTTGCGGACAATATTTTTCATCACAATGTGGCGGAAACTGGACTTTTAGGCACGCGGAGCGTGCCGAAAAGTTCACTTTTCGTCACAGCGTGATGAAAAAGTATCATTTGACGAATGTGACTTTATAATCCGAGCCGACGGCGAGGATTATCATCACATGAGTCAGATAATACTTTTATCGCTGTGACATACAATATTTTTTGACACTGCTGCTACCTTCACGTCGTGCCGAAAAGTGCTTTTTCGTTCACGTCGTGCCGAAAAGTGATTTTTCATTCACTCGTAAACGAAAAGTAAAAAAATAGTATATTTCGTAACGAGTGCAGTGTTTTTTCACGAGTTACGAACAATATTTTTCATCACAATGTGGCGGAAATCGGACTTTTAGGCACGCAGAGCGTGCCGAAAAGTTCACTTTTCGTCACAGCGTGATGAAAAAGTATTTTCTTTAACTTGTAAAAAATGTTGTTGGACACATGGGAAACGGGAATTTTCAGCTGATGTGATCGGCAGCCCTCGGCTTCGCCTCGAGCCGCCACCTTCACACTTGTGAAAATTCCGTCTCACTCGTATCGAAATATACTATTATATCATTGGGTCGCTTCGCTCGGTTAAATCGTGGTGTCTCGCGGCTCAAAGTGTCTTTTCGTTTGCTCGTCAATAAAAAGTCTTTTCGTTTACTTGCAAACGAAAAAAAGGCAGAGTTCGCGTGATGGAATTGAATCATACAGCTCGTGTGATTGGCAGCCCTCGGCTTCGCCTCGGGCCTCCAACTTCACACCGGTGAAAAACCCGTCGCACTTGTATCGAACTATACTGTCATCATCTTGA